TAATATATATATATATATGTATGTATGTGTATGTATGTGTATATATATGTATGTATGTATGAAAAAGTTAATTGGAGTGTTTTACAAGAAAATACTATTTTAGTCTTTCTACTTAATTTCATATTTAATTCAGTGTGTTGCTTGTCATTTCTTTGTAATATTTGTGAAATTTACTAACAATTTCTGAGCAAAAATGGTTTCTAAGCAAATCCTACACCATTTTTATAAGTAATTTTTACATATCTCTCATTTTCTAATGTCAAATGAGATGTATGTAATTTCTTTAAAATTGTTTATTTTCAGTTGACAGGGTTGATTTTGGAATTGATGCATGGGAAAAACAGATTTTTTTTAACCAGTCAAGCTGCCGTGATTATTAGCATCTCAAATTGTCTGAAATTTGGCTGAATAATAAGTCTACCACCATATTTCTAATTGTCAAATTTCTGTTGTCATTTTTTGAAGTTCATTTTAAAATCATATAGAGAAAACCAAAAATGGTAAATGTTCCTTTTCATCTTAATCTTAAAAAGAGAAAGCCTCTCTAGACCACAAATTACAATGATTTTACCATGCGTAAGCAGTGTTTTTTGGGCATAACATGAAGCTGAATGCATAAAATTACCTTAACTCTGGCGAAATCATTGTAATACATGGTGTTATTGGTTTTAAAAAGACACCAGTATACATAAATAGTTACCTTTGCAGTACATACTGTATTACTGTATGCAGTAGCAGCTTGATGCATCAGTATAGTTTCTGTGCTACAGTTGTGTATAAAGTGGTGTTGAGACAGTTTCAGAATTACCCACATGTGTTTTGATATTGGGTGCAAGAACAGTAGTGGAAAGGTTTTTCAGTTTTTACCGTATTTTTATGTTGTTTTTATGATGTTTAAGCTAGGACTGTTTTTATGCAGAGAGAACCATTTGCAAATGTTGATGATGTCATTTATACTTGCAAGTTGCTCCTAGATTTGCTTTCAGAATTTGATGTGATTGAAATCCACCCATACTTGTTAAAAACTACTTGTTAAAAATTGTGGCATTAATATATTCATCTGAACCAAATTCACTTTGATCATGGAGTTGCAATGTAGTAAACGTCTTTTGACGTGCCGCATGACAACTTTGAAAAATGCATGGCGTATTTCCATTGGAGGCGGATGTTCATTCCGTTCTCATTTCCCGCTGTAGCCATAGGCCTTCTCTCCACTTGCGCTCTACGAGGACGGATGCTGAAGTTGTTGAACATGACCGTTCTTGTGAATGTGAAATGCTGACGGCTGTGGCGCTGAATAATTGATCAGATGTGTTGTATTCATGTTATGTTTTTTCTCCGCTTGAAAATTTCAGGGTGTTCATGAATTATTCATGAGCACAAAATCATCTGCATCATTCCTGTCCAGCATTTCTGATTTGCTCACGAAAGATTTTGAAACAAAATGAATAGCCTGAAATTGACCAAATTGAACTGCATGGGTTGTATTGTTTTTAAAGGTATTTTCATGCAGTTATTGTGCACATACATGAGTCTAAAAGAATAGTTCACCTAAAAATGAAAATTTTATTAAAATGTACTTACCCCCAGGCCATCCAAGATGTAGATGAGTTTGTTTCTTCATCAAAACCGATTTGGAGAAAATTAGCATTACATCACTTACTCACCAATGGATCCTCTTCAGTGAAAGGGTGCTGTCAGGATGAAAGTCCAAATGAGAGTTCTGTATCCATAATACTGCTTTTTTTCCAGCGAAAAAGTAATCTCATCTGAATCAGGAGAGAAATCTGCACAGATCAAGCACAATTTACAAGTGAAAACAGTCCAAAACAGTTCTAAACAAATATGTGGGTGGTTTTTGATGTGAGAGGACAACAAGTGATTTTTTTTTCCACTGGAGGGAGTGTTACTATGGATTATTGACTGGTATTTTGACCAGAAGCAGTGGTTTGAAGTTTTAATGTCTTGATGGATTTGTTTCTTACAAACATACAGCTTTTCACTTCACAAGATGTTAATTGATGGACTGGAGTGGTGTGGATTACTTGTGGATTATTGCTGGTTTTATCAGCTGTTTGGACTCTCATTCTGACGGCACCCATTCACTGCAGAGGATCCATTGATGAGCAAGTGATGTAAATCGATGCTAAATTTCTCCAAATCCAAAATGTAATGTCTGTTCCTGTGTAGCTTTCTGAAAGTCATGAAATAAATAGCTCTGCTCTACAGAAACTAGGAAGAATGATTAGAAAGGGTTGAGTTTGAGTGTTTCCACGGATGTAAAGAACAAAGCACACAAAATACTTGATCTGCCCAGAAGTTGTCTTGCTCAGGCCGTGTGTGTCTGTTGAACCGCTCGCTATAATCTGATTGGCGAGTGCTCATTTCGAAGGAACTTGGACACTGGTTGATGACAATGCCTGTTAGGTTACATAACCTTGGATTTACTCTGGTGCCCTATTAACACAGCTAATCATCTTAAACCAATCCCAATCCTTTATTAGGCTGCTTCTTCATTGGGGCTCTGAGGAAGTGGCTTATATGCTGTCATTGACAAAAGAAA